TCTCCATTGTGTGCTTAAGAGAGGGTGTGTCTGCTTCACAATCGCCCCAGTACCTTGATTAATTAACAGAGTAGGGTGAAATTTTATCTAAGGATAGAAAGGCGGATAGGAGGACAGAGATAAGACAACAGAAGGCTTAAAGCACTACGTACACCACCCAGGCCTGGCGGACTCCCGCAGCCAGCCATTGTGGTCCGGCAGCCCCGAGCCGAGCCTCCGAAAGCTGAGCAGTGAGTCTTGAAAGTTCTGAAGTTGCCTGCGGCTGTGTACACCGGTCGGTTTAAGGGAAAACGAGAAGTAGTACACGGACGGAAGGGAGCATAAAGCAGCATCCCAACGTCACAGAAATAGAGACTATGAAAAGGAGAGCACATGTGTGTAGCGGCGGCTATAGCCCCTTGCTTTGTCTTGTCGGTCAGGATCTGAAGTCATGACCTGTTAATCGACAATTACATAAGTGTACTACTGACGAGTACCATTCAGCCAAATGAGCTGTTGTTTTTTGTCTTTTTTGTTTTGTATTTCCAATTCCTCTTTCCAAACAACTGGGTTTTGTGAGCATTCTTTAACTGTGAAAAGTTGAAAGTTCTTTTTTTTTTTTTTTACGTTGAATTTGGTTGAAACTCGAAACCCGAAACTCGAATCTCAGGTATGCTTGAAGGGGCCACTCAATTTTGTTCCTCGTGGACCGGGGGGTAGGAAGGGAAACAAAAAAACTATAACATTTCTAGTATTTCTACCATCTTCCCCATCCCTCCCCCCCCCTTCCCCCCCCCCCCGAAAAAAAACAAAAAAACGATGCACCCTGATCATGAATGCACACAAGCAAAGCATCCTTGTACAATACAGTCATGATGAAGGTGCCTCACATTCGGCCCGAGATGGTAGTATGGCATTGCCAGCCTCACAAATGCACCATACTTTGATGATGTAACTTCACTTAAGCCGCCAGTACCTTTCCCAGGCAAAAAAAAAAAAAAGCTCGCCAGTTAACAGAGAGGCCGGTCCCAGCCTCGCGCGTCGGCGCCAGATACATCTTGCATCGTTGGCGCACAGGGTCCGCCGCCAATATATGGGAAAGGTACTGGCGGTTTAAACCACCAGCTCCGAATGAGATGGGCGATTCTCACCTGAAGAAACGTTTGAATTTCCCATTGAGTGGGTATCAAACCGGCTGCAGGCATGCCAACGGGTCTATCTCAGTTGGTACATCCATGAATTGTTGAATTCTCGGCCTTTTGGCTAAGATCAAGTGGAGTATCTGTTCTGATCAGTTTAATATCTGATCCTTAAAAAAAAAAAAAAAAAAAAAAAAAATACAGACACAAGCAGAGAAAATTAATTAGCAGGAAAGGCCCCCCCCAAAAAAAAAAAAAAAAAAAAAAAAAAAAAAAAAAAAAAAAAAAAAACCAAACAAACAAACAAAACAAACAAACAAACAAACAAACAAACAAACAAACAAACGATTTGCATATCGGTCATGGGCCTCATGGTCCCCGTGCGTCCGGTCGTTGTCTCTCTGCCTGTAAGTAAAACAAGGATATTTCTTTTTTGAGGAGCAGCAGTCAGATTCCTTATCCACCGGCAAGTCGAAAATATACATGTTTTACTCCCAGCAAGGGGTCTGCTATTGTTGTTCTTTGTGAGCCAGATTTTCAGTGGCAGAGTGAGCTGACATTCAATGCATGGATTGTCCACTGCCTGCTGCCTCGTCACACTCGATAAGATCCACCAATGTCAGAAATCTGCAACTTGTAAAACTGCACCACTGTAGGGTTGGCTCGCGATGATAAAAATGGACGTTAAACGGTTAAAACTTAAAACGTGGGCGGGGTTAAATGGTGCTCCGAGGTGGGTTAGGAATCCCACCAATGTCGGATCTATGGCCCCTCGACCCAGGTTGTTGTAGATGTCAGATGTCTGGCCTGGCAGTCTAGCCTTCAGCACTCATCCGTCTAGTTGCCCAGATGGCCTATCGGGGGATATTCCTAACTCACCTCGGAGCACCATTTAACCCACCTGCCGTTTTAACTTTTAAGTTTTAACGTCCATTTTTATCACCGCGAGCCAACCGTACAGTGGTGCAGTCTTACAAGTTGCAGAGGTCAGATGTATGGCCTGACACATCTGACCTCTGCAACAACCTGGGTCTAGGGGGGGGGGGCAACAGATAACAGTCCTCCTGGTTAGCAGGGCTGAACTGCGTGGCGACACTTGGAAAAAAAAACGAAAAAAAGAAAGCGACTAAAAACTTAGTAGAAAGGTCATCAAATCGAGCAATGTTGTAAAATCCATACACGCTGGGCAGTTAAAAAAGAAAAAACTTCAAAAAAGAAAAAAGATTTCCTTCCTGTTTTGTCATCGTTGACAGCAGCAGGGGCCATGCTAATCTTGCTTTTCCTTTTTTGACATCAATAACCAAGATCTCTGTATCGTTAAAATTGGAATGTAAATTATGTAAATTATGTAAATTATGTAAATTATGTATTACGTATCCTTCCAATTTTACATCTTAATGGATTTGCTTCACCAGGAGGTTCACAAAAGTGTTTCAGCGATTCTGATAGAGATCTTGGTTCCTGATGTCAATCAATAACCAGGAAGGAGATGCGCGTCACGTCACGTCACGTCACGTCACGCAGGCTTATATGCTTGCCACGCGTGAGCAACAGGGTTTGTGTACCCCTAGGAGCAGATGCGGGGGTGGGGGGGGAAAGGGGGGAAATTGAAGCGGCAAAAAAAGAAAGGGGGCTCAAGTAGCAGTCAGTAAACTGTGGTGTGGGATGAAATGATGATTACCCGGTGGGCAGGTAGCAAGCACTAGACCCCTCAATACTCACCCCTCTTTCAGCTTCCACCTCCCGCAGTTTGTAGTTGGCAACTGCCACAAAATAAGGCGACAGGTCAACGCCTGTGATCTTCGCATCTGGGAAATTCTGCAATAAACAGAGTATGAGCACAGCGTTCATGCGTTTGTAACTTGTAACTTTGTAATCGCATTCCCAGAAGGCATTTCATGATTTTGTTATCCAGGAATTTCATGATTTCTGTTTTTAGGGTCAATATATTTCACTTCTATTTGTGAACTTTGTCTCGCTACTAGTCTACTATGTCGGTTTTTTTTTTTTTTTTTTTTTTTTTTTCTTCTTCCT